ACTCCTCACCCAGGTCAGTCTTCCTTCCATGAATCCCTCTTCTGGGTTATTGCCTCCCCTACCCCTCCAACTACTTTGGTAGTCTTTCTTCAAGTCAGAGGCTAGGGCCCTGTGGGGTGGAGGGTGGCCAGGAGTGTAGATAGTCTGCAGAGGGAGGTATGGTGGATTCCAACTCAAAGATGCTTCCAGCCTTCAGATCAAAAATTTCCAGTGTTTTACGTTATGCCCCTAAAAACCTCTATCTTTTTATCCTATAGGACCTCAAGATTCCTGGAAAGAAGCTCCAGCCCCCAGGGGAAACCTCCAGAGGAACAAGGTCAATGCATCTGTCCCCACCCACTCCCTCGCACATTCACCAATGACCATGTTCTAATTCCTTAGAGGATTCAGTCAGTCCTTCCCCTTCTCAGACTGTCCCCGCCCTCCTCCCACTTACTCTTCTTTCCTTAGGACCCTCCTCTTTCTCTTTCCCTCTTACACACATACACCAGTCTCGTCACTTCCCAGTTTCCCATACTCACTCCTCTGCCTCCTTGTTCACTATCATTCCTGCCACTCCCCAAAACCAGAGCCATGGAGTCTCTCAGCTCAGACTCATGTGTCTTTCCTTCTGTCTCTTTAGCTGCCAGAGACATTTATGCCCCCAGCACCAATTACCGCTCCAGTTATGAGCCTCACCCCTGAGCTTCAAGGGATTCTTCCCTCACAGCCCCCTGTCTCGGGTGTGAGTCATGCTCCCCCAGGGGCTCCAGGAGAACTCAGCTTGCAGGTAACAGGAACAATGTATTCCCCTCCCTTGAGAAACCTTCCAGCCCTCCTTGGGTGCAAGTCATGGTAGATGGGCCTCATTCTTCAAGGCAGAGACCATCTCTGAGCTGAGGGAAACTGGGGACAGGTACCAGGTGTCCTTACTGCAGAGAAAGGGAGGCTGCTCATCTCCCCACCTCTGCTCTGATGGGAACAGTATGACTGTGAGTCACTGGGGACTAGTCCTTAGGGAAGCCATGAGAAGGACAGATTGCCCCTCTGGCCTTTCTCCCTGCTTCTTTATCAGCAGCTTCAGCACCTGCCACCTGAGAAGATGGAAAGGAAGGAGCTGCCCCCAGAGCATCAGTCCTTGAAGAGCAGCTTTGAGGCACTTCTCCAACGTTGCTCCCTGTCTGCAACTGACTTAGTGAGTCTGAACCTTCTCCACAGTGCCCTCCTTGCACCCCTCGCTGGTTCCAGGACCCCTCAGCTGTGGACCAGTTCCTTGTGTGACTCTCTTCTCACTGCCCTGAACATGCCGTTTCTATCTTGTACTTAATTAATGTCCATGTGGAGCTGGGGAGAGACTTCGAGTCTGGTCTGAAGTCTAGCTCCTTGACAGTAGGACCCAGCAGCATTGAGACCTAAAGGCAGCAGGGGTACTGGAAGGAGAGTGGAGCCAGGAGTAAGGAAGTCTGCCATTCCCTTGCTGGCTGTGTCGGCTTGAGCAAGTTGCTTACCCTTCTTGGGCCTTCATTCCCTCCTCTGTGAAATGAAGCCATTCTAGCTCTAATATGCTGTGATTCTTTTTTTTTTTTTTTTTTTTTGGGTGGAGTCTCGCTCTGTTGCCCAGGCTGGAGTGTAGCCGTGCGATCTCGGCTCACTGCAAGCTCCGCCTCCCGGGTTCACGCCATTCTCCTGGCTCAGCCTCCCAAGTAGCTGGGATTACAGGCACCCACCACCACGCCTGGCTAATTTTTTGTATTTTTAATGGAGATGGGGTTTCACCGTGTTAGCCAGAATGGTCTCAATCCGCCCACCTCGGCCTCCCGAGGTGCTGGGATTACAGGCGTGAGCCACTGCACCCGGCCTAATATGCTGTGATTCTTTATGGCCCTGTGTGGTGTTAGCCTTAGGGGCGGGGTTTGGAATCCATTTCTTTCCCTGCAGAAGACAAAAAGGAAGTTGGAAGAGGCAGCCCAGCGTCTGGAGTGTCTATATGAAAAGCTCTGTGAGGGGACAGTAAGTACACCTACCTGTGCTCCCACTGCCTCCTACCCTTCCACCATGACCATGGCCAAAGGAAGCCCAGTGTCTTTTCTTCCCATAGGTCTCACTGACCTGGGTTCCCCACAAAATATGTGCATCTTGCCTGGACTGGGCCCAGAACTTAAGTCTTCCCTTATCCCTTCCATGCTGCCAGGGTAGGGACTGGGTTGGGCTCGCTAACCTAAGGGTCATTCCCTCCACAGCTCTCACCTCATGTCGTGGCTGGGCTCCATGAGGTTGCCCGATGCGTGGATGCAGGAAGCTTTGAGCAGGGCCTCGCAGTGCATGCCCAGGTGGCGGGCTGCAGCAGCTTCAGCGAAGTGTCCAGCTTCATGCCTATCTTGAAGGCAGTCCTCATCATTGCTCATAAGCTGCTGGTCTAAACCAGGCAGCCTCTCTTGCTAGGAGGCCTCTTCTGCTGTTACTTAACTCCTCCCTGCAGAAGAGGGGACTTTTGCAACAGATTCTGTTTGTTTTTCCCGACTCTTCCTTGCTGCCAGGTATGTGATGCTGTAGGCTTGACTCCAAACCAGCTGAGTGCCTGCTTTTTACTCCTTTATGCCTGGCCTTCTAGGATCTGTCCAAGACACTCCAGGCCTGGAGGCAGGGCATAGAGTCAGTTCTTCACCCTCCCTAATACTACACTCTGTAAGGACCTGGGGCAGAATATCTTCTGCCCCAGGGATCTTCTGTTTACGTGGCTTCTGAGAGGGTGAACAGGATTGTTACTTTTAAGTCTACCTCTGCTGTGACCCATCATGTGGGTCTTTTGTTTCTCCCTTCTGTGGTTTATGAGCCTGCCCTTACCTTTTCCCTGTCTCTGACTTCATATTTCCACGTCTGTATTTCTCTGTAGTCCAGGGTATGGGGTAGAGCTGACTGCTGTTCACCCTTTGAACAAGTCATGGATGTGAGGGATGGGTGCTGAGGAGAACCAAGAGAGGAAACTTTGGCGCTGTTAAAATGGAATTTCTCATGTGCCAGCATTATTAAGGGTGGGCTAGGTTGGATGGAAGGTGAAAGGGGTGAACTGCCTTTTGCTGGAAGCTGTCTTAGGCTGTGAGATAGGAGCAGGGGAACCACAGCCTATGGGGAACTGCCCTTGACTATGTTGGAGCCTTAGCCCAAGGCCATTCCTTCTGTGATGATAAAGCCCATTTCTGTATTCTCTTCCAGCACTGCTCCTCAAGGGTTGGGGGCCCTTCTAACTGGCAGCCACCACATGTCCCAGGGCTACCTTCTCTGGCTGGATTTGCATTTGTGGCACTGTGTTTGGATTTGCATTTGTGGCACTGTGTTTGATGCAGTGATGTACTTAATGGTGCAATAAAGCTGCTTTGATTTGGTTTCCTCTGTCATCTCCCAGTCATTGTCTCCTCTGGGTTCTATTTTGCCATTACCTTCCTAGTCCTCTTTATTCTTGCTTCCTGCACCCTAGTAAGGCAGGGGAGAGGCTTAGGGAGAGATAAATCAAGAAAGTTAAAGGAAGGTGTCCAGCCCCACTGAATTAGGTTCTCTCCTTGCAGCATTTGTGGTCTCTCTGCTGGGTGTGTTGGGGGCAGGGGGGTTGTCTCTCTTCATCCGTGCCTGGTGTTCAGTTCCAGAGTTTTCCGCACCCCACTTCAGGGCTGAGCTCAGCTATACAAAGGGACTGGGTGTGAAGCCAGGGGATACTAGCCCTAATCCTGTTGTAGATCCCATCATGTCTGTGGGCTAGATGTGTGTGTGTTTGGGAGGGAGGGATTGTTAGGCAGTATTTGTTTGTAAAGCCACTTGCTCTTCAGATAATACTTGCACTAACTTCTATTGATGAAGCAGTGTGAGCCCCAGCAAAGTCCTTTCCCAAAGTGTCTTTGAAGCCAAGAGCCCATTGAAGGGAAGAAAGGCCGGGAGAGGGGATTAGTTTGTTCAGCAGCTGTGAATTTCAGTGGGAGGTTGATGAACTCCGAAGTCTTTGTTTAAATTAAAGTGGGGGAGAAAAAAGCCGCTGCTGGAGCGAGAGCCCCACTTGGGGCCCTGAACTAACACAAGGAGAAGTCTGAGCTGCAGGGAGCTGTGTACTGACTGCGAAGACTTTTCCCAAACACTTTCGGAAAAGGTGTTGTGAGAAGACAAGGGGGCGGAGTGGCGGATTAGCATGTGAAATGAAGTTTTCATTGACTCCAGTGGGGGTAGAAGGCTATTTTAATGGCATTTTGTTCTCCTATTTTCTCTTCTTGAGCTCTTTAGATATATTGTTTTGCTAAGACAGGCTTTCTTCCCCCTTCTTTCCAGTCTGAGGATTGCCTCTATGGGAGCCAACATAAATATTTCTCCTCCAGGAATGCGGGTTAATTAAAAGGAAATGAATGAGTGGAAGCATCCAATCCAGACCTACAATAGGCGAGTGCCCTGGCCTGCCCTCCCCTCCCACCACCGCCAGCACCACCAGCGCCGAAGACGACCCGGTCTCTGTCTTTGCCCTAACCTGCTGCTAAGGCCAGTTGAGACTGCGATTCCTTTCAAAAAGAAAAAGCTCTGCCTGTGTGTAGGCTCACAGGCCAGGGACAGGAAGGAGACAGTGTTTTGCCCACCCCAACCAATTTCCTTGTCACTTCTCAGGACCTCCCTCTGTTTCTGTCTTCTGACTGAGACAGATGGGCTCCTGAAGAGCACACGAGAGGTGGGAAGGGGCCTGTGCTCTGCACTCACCCCGCAGTAACTTACTAGTTGGGGGAAGAAGCCAGTCATCTTTCTCAGCATCAGTTTAAATCTGTAAAACAAAAGGTTTGACTAGCTGACCTCAAAGATGTCTTCCCAAGCACCATTTCTGGAGTTGCCTACTTTGTAAAGGGACCACGGCCCTGGCGATTGAGTATAAGATGAGAACTTAAACTCCATGATGCAGCAATGGCGGTAGTTGTTCACCACTGTCTCCACTCTGGTGTTTGTTGAATGAACAAATGAACAAGTGGATATTGCAAAAGGAAGGGAAAACATACAGATCCAAGGCAGCTCAGTCATGTTTTCTTGATAGAACTGGAATGAATCTGGTATCCATTTGGGGATATAAAACAATAGCCTATGAAATAATGTTCTGGCAGCATGACATATTTAGAGTGCTGACCTGGAGTTATCAAATATGAAGCACAATAGTTCTCCTGCTTTTATGCTAAGAGACTTCCTGGAGAATGCAGCTTTACTTTACAACATTGTACTTTTAAATTTTCTAGCTGCCTTGCCAAACTTTCTTCGTGTACATTATCAAGCAATTCTGCAAAGTGGGACAGGTAGGTTAGTATATGCTACTTCTTGGTTAAGGAGAAAAGGTGAGTTGGGAGGCTCAGATAAAAGTGGAGAGAAGCCGTGAAGGGCCTTTTGCTGATAGAGCTGGAAATGAAGCACTAGGAACCCCTGAAAGGAAGTGTATCCCGGGTCAGGAAGGGGAAACTCTCTCGGTAAGTGTTGGCAAGACCAGAAGGTATGTGGGTGAGGCCAGGGGTTTGGGATCTGACCTGGCTATTGCCTTAGTTTGGATTACGGGAACCCTTGACTCTTACAGGTGAGCCCCTAGAGTCTTGGCTTTTGTTACTTGGAGCCAGTCACACTGCTTTCTCCTACTCTGGGAGAGGAAGGTTGGGGTCATCTAACATCTGACCAGTTCTGCTCTAGAAGAGCTGCCCAGCCCCAGACCTGGGACTGTCCTAGGGCAAGGAAGCTGGCTGGGGAGCTCCTTGGGCTACAGAGGGTCTGTCAGGGATTGGTTCTTCCCTACCCAAGGTCTTGCTCTGTTTCATAAACAAGTCCCTGCTGTGCTCCTCTCTGAGAATAAAACCAGAAGACTCCAGTACCGCAAGCAGCAAGCTCATGGCTATTGAGTGAATGTATTAGAAGATTTATGTAGATGATTTACTAATCCTTGGCAGCTTAGCCTCAATCCAGATAACTGCTTGGGCGACCAGGGAAGTGAGGCTCTAAGGAGGATGGTATCCTGCCAAGAGGGGAGGGAGGAGAGAGCCCACAGGTTGTATCTGTTACCACACCCCACCCCAATATCCTCAAGAATAAGTGCAGTACCTAGAAAAAGAGCACATATCACAATGACTGCAATAAATTAAGGTTCAAGGTGCTGAACTTCCCATTAGCAACAGTTTCATTGCAGGAAGTTTACTCATCGAAGGAAGATATCCAGTGCTGTGAATCCTGCCTGTTTGAGAACCAGGTTAGTGATAAGGAAGGGTCTCAGTTTCTCCTTCTTATGACCTGCCCCTAGAGGTGCAGACCAGGATCTGAACAGGAAAGTGGCTTTATTTACCTCAGTCTTGGCTCAGAGGAACAAAGATCCTTTGGGGAAGAAGAAGAGGTAAAGTTGGTTGCTAGGAGGAAGTAGGTCAGGAGAAGGTAGAAGGTACCTCTAAAGGGTAGGAAATGACTGTAATCTACCCTTAACGTATTTCCTAGACCTTTGGGGTATGTATCTAGAGTCCCTTGGGTGATTGTCTAGGAAGGTCATTGCCCCACTAGTAAAGTCTATCATGACATGATACCACAAGGATGAGTAGCACCCTTGGTGTTCCAATCAGCACTCCAGAGGAGCTCCCTCTTCCTCCATCTTCAGCCTCTGCCTCTAGGAACCAACCCCAAAGATATGCTTTGCCGGGGCCAGTTTCCTCAGTTTTTCTGGGAAAGAAAGGAAAGGGAGAAGAGGAGAGAAAGCATTCAAGATTCCTGGGGAGTCTGGGTCAGCAGGTAGCAGGGGAGGAGCTGTGCAGAAGAGAGGGGCAGCAGTGGGCAAAAGGGCAAAGCTTTGGCTTTACCTGGGCCCTGCGTGTCTGAGAAGGGTTCTTCCAGCGCCTAAGGCTTGATAGGCTAGGTCAGACATTAGGGCTGCTAAGAAAGGGGAGGAGGAACACCTGTTCTCATCCTAATCCAAGGAAGATCAGTAGCTCAAAGCCTGAGTTCTCAGTCAGACCTAGGTGTGGCTGCGAGGAGGCTTCAAACAGCGCCCTAGGAGAGCACAGAGGAATTGGGGAAACAGGCTGGAAAGTGGCAAGCTTCGGAGAATTTGCAGTCTCTCCTTCTCAGGATCCCTAGGTCTGGAGCGGGTTCCCCTTTCCCTAGGTTCCACAATTACTGGGGTCTCTAAAAGAAGCCAAGAACCGGTGGGAAAAGGAGGGGGCAGAGGAAACGCTTAGGGTTTTCTCCCGGGTTTGTGCGCAGCGCCCCCCCGCGGCCGCTCTGCGCGGCTGCAGAAGTACTTGGTGACCCGCCGGCGGCACTGCTCGCAGCGGACTGCGCAGCACCAGTGGAACTTGCAGTTGCAGCTGGACACGGTCTCGGCCCGGCGCTCCTCCACCGCCAGCCCGCAGTCCCCGCAGAGCCGGCGGCAGCTGCGGCGTTCCCAGCGACCCAGGGCCCGCCCGCGCCTCAGGCACTCTCGGCCTTCGGTGCCCAGCAGTCCTAGCGTTTTGTTCTCCAGGCAGTAGTCCGGGGAGTCCTCCAGGTGCACCAGCTCCCGGGTGGAGATGGAGCGAAAGGTGTCGGCGATGGCGCCGCGGCCGGCAGCGCTGTTGCCAGCACCCTGCAGCAGGTCTACCTTGAGTGCTGCGTGGTACTTCTCCTTCAGGTGCGCGCCCACCTCGCGGAACTCGGGCAGCTGCAGCCAACAGGTCTGCGTGGTGCAGCTGCCAGACACGCCGTGGCACTTGCACGTACGTTTCATGGTGCCCTTCACTGCCTGGGGAGAGAGCTAGGAGTGAGAGACCCGAGATTAAGCGCGTGGCGAGTTTAACTGCCCCTGCGGGAGTTGCGAGGAGTCTAGTTAGTCTACTGGACCAGCCCACTTGGTACCTTATTTTGCCAGTCTTTTAAATGAACGGAAGAGTTGTCCACACCTGGAGCTCGTAGTGGATGGAGCCAGCAGCTGCCTATTCCCAAGGGCTGCGGGACTCACCTTGCGGCCAGCCTCGTTGTTGTGCAGGTTCATGGCTGCCCGTGCATCCTGTCCTGTTTCCAGGGCATCGACAAACTGCTTAGAAATCGCCTCTCCGAAGCCCACATTGTCACTGCAGCCTCCCCACAGCCAGCCTTGGCCCCCTGGAAAAGTGCAGGGGGAGGACAGGTCATTAAGCAAGCGGGCGCAGAGCCTCCTGGGCTGCTGTTTCTAACTGGGTTCGGGGTCGGGGGTCCAGGATAGGAGAGGATTAAGGTTGGGCGAGTACCCTGTATCCAGATCAGTTGCCGTCTATATTTGTTTTTGCCACCTTTACACGCCCACTTCCAGGTTTAGCCAATCCCCTGCTCAGAGTTCAATGACGTAAGTAGTTGCCGAGTGGATTCTTTGCAAGGCGCCAGGACACTCCTCTGCCAACAGTGCCTCTACCCATGGGCAGAGGGTGCACGTGCCCTGCTGCTGATTGAGGTCCAGAAGGGACAAAATGGTGCCAAAAAGATGAGGAAAGCTCAAGCATTGAGTGGGAAAGAGGGGTACAATTGAAATATGGAACAATGATGTTGGAAATTGGTCAGGAGGGCACAGGATTGGAGACGGCACTGGAGGTAAAGAGTGGAAAGTAGACGGGGATAGGCAACACGGAAGGAAGTTCCCCTTGTGTTTGAGAGAAGCAACAGAGGAATCCCCAGAGTGTTGCTTCTTTATTATTATGTTTAAATTAAGGAAACTACTCAATGGGACAAGAAGGTCCTAAGCTACATTTAGCCTGGCTTGTCATTGTAGGGCTTGGGATCAAACTCGTTCACCCATCTTCCGCATGATTTTCTTCATATTTAGAAAAATACAGCTCTTCTTCACCCCCACTAGGCTTTTCATTCTTTATGTGAATTGAGCTGGCCTATGGTACCCATCCCCACTTTACTACTCACCCAGTTGCCCATTGCGGGAGTCATCACAGCCACAGTTATCAAAATCTCCAAGGCTGCAGTTTCTAGTCAGGGTGTACATGACTCCAGCAGAACTGATGGCGTGCACAAATGCTGTCTCCCGATTAGCTAGCAGGAACCAAAAATCCAGAGTTAGAGGGAGGGGTTGCAGCTTAAAGAAATACCAGACATGCTGCCTTTCTTTAATAACCATCATTATATCCTCTTTCCCTAGCTCCATCCTATTTCCCCATCTTTATTATTATTTTTTAACTTTTATTTTTTGCAGAGAGAGGGTCTCACTATGTTGCCCAGGCTTGTCTGGAACTCTGGGCTCAGTCTTCCTACTGCATCCTCCTGAAGAGCTTGGGATTACAAACTTGAGCCACTGTGCCTGGCCTTCCCATCTTTACAGTGTATCTTACCCTCTTCCATGGTCTGCTGCATCCCTGGAATTAGCCCTACTCTTCCCACCTCCTGTCATTTCAGGTCACACATTTTGTGACCAGGTGACTAGGGTACTGTTGACACACATGATTGTAAATGATTTAGGTTGGAAAGAGCCTGAGGAAGAAATGGGGAGGGAGATGAATCTGAAGGCTAGGTTGTAAAGAACCCATCCCCAATTCCTCCTGGAACACTGGGGTCTAAGAGTCATGTGCAGAATTAGTCTTGAAAAGAACCTCTGATTGGCAGCTCTTTCATTTACTGGCATGGCCACTCTTTATCTTATCTTCTCCATGGGAATCTGGTCTCCAAGTCACTCTCCACTTGCCCAGTACCTCTCTGCTAAGGAAGGGGCTAAGGGGTATGAGAAATTGTGACCCCTGCCTACCTCCTGATACTACTTACATTGTGAGGAGACCTTTAGCCAACTGGGAGGCCAAGGATGGTATGGGATTGGGAGTAAGGCGATATCCATTTGTTGAGCAATGAGAGTGTTGAGAAAGAAAGAAAAAACTCTATAGGTGGGAAAAAGGAAGTAGAAAAGGAAAAGAGAAGATCCTGGAGAGGGAGATGACCTAAGAGAAGAGAGCAGGTGAGGAATAAGTGTGTCAAGGAGACAAGGGACTATCCCTGGGGCTCTAACCTGTGACCAGGGGGTCCAGGGAGCTGTGGCTGAAGCTTTTCTTACCACTGCGAAGCCCACCATGGCTGGACAGCTGCAGAGCTCTCTCAGGGCAGTTCCAGCGGTCCCAGGCAAACTGATACTTGCATTCTTCAATACCACTCTGGGCACCAGCTGCCACACTGCTGGAGTAAATCAGGTAAGCCTGTAGGGACATAGGGGTAAAAACTCAGACTGAACTTAGGAGGAATTTACCCTAAACTGACCAAACACCTCCCTTCCTGCTCACTCTCCCATCCCTCCAAAATAATGATGGAGTAAGCACTTTAAATATGCTGTCTCATTTGTCATCACAGATAACCTGTGAAATAGGCACTATTTTATAGATTAGGAAACTGAGGCTCAGGGAATGAGCTAAAGTGACTTCCCCAAAGTTGCAGAGCTAGCAAATGGCAGAACTAGAAATGAAACCAGTTTTATCAGACTCTAGTCCCTGTCATCCTTTATTCACCTTTATTCACTAAACTATCCTGCCTCTCCAAAATGAGCCCAAATCACACAATTAATGAAATTTAAGCAGTTCTTGTCACATGACCATCTTAGAAAATAACATTTTGGAACTGAAAATGCCCATGAATGTAAAGATCATGTAGTACAATTCCAGCATTTTAAACATGGGAAACTGCATCCCACCACGGGGCACTGAGAAGGATGTGTGGCTTTGCAGCCTGACACCTATAAAAGGCTGTTGACTTTTATGGCTCTGGAAATTCTAGCCATAAATTCAGAATTAGTGCTCCTGAGTTCTTATCTTGGCTCTGACAATGGCTTGCTATGTGGTTTTAGATGTGTCCCTAACACCCTCTGGGTCTCAGTCTTTCTATCTGTAATATATACAGCATAACAAAAGATGTGGATATGATGAAAAATCTGCATTTATCATCTTTAGTCAACAGGCTAAGATTAGTGAAATCCGTATCAATTAAAGGAGTTTATTCTTACTTTTGGACCAGTCATCAGGAAATTGTTCACTGACCTATAAGAGAAAAAACAAAAACAGAATATAATGCAGAGACACCAACTTGTTTCTGCTTCCAAGAGTGGTAAGAATTACTTCAGCACATGTAATTAATAGGAAGAAAAGGTAACTAGTTTTACCCAGGAAACACTGTGCATAACAAACCTACTAAAGATAATTTACAGCCAGGTGGGGTGGCTCATGCCTGTATTCCCAGCACTTTGGGAGGCTGAAGCAGGCGGATCACTTGAGGTCGGGAGTTCGAGACCAGCCTGGCCAAACATGGCGAAACCCCGTCTCTGCTAAAAATACAAAAATTAGCGGGGCACGGTGGTGGACACCTGTAGTCCCAGCTACTCAGGAGGCTGAGGCATGAGAATCACTTGAACCTGGGAGGTGGATGTTGCAGTGAGCCGAGATCATGCCACTGCACTCCAGCCTGGGCGACAGAGTGAAATTCCATACACACACACACACACACACACACACACACACACACAACTTAGTAGAAAAGAACATTAATAAAAGTAGTATAATTTCCTTGCATTTTTAAAGCCAGGTAAAATTTCTAGTACCATAAACTTGATAGTAATGGTTGCTGATTATTCTGCCATGAAGTGGGGAGAGAGCTAGCATTAACTCCTGACTATGTTCCTTATGCTCTACTCTTAGTATTTTACATGTTGATCTTGTTAAATCCTTACTGTCTCAGGCATTATTATCACTATTTTGCAAATAGGAAATCTGAGACTCCAGAAAAGTTAAACATGTGTTCAGGCTCACCCAGCTAGTAAGTGAGTGAAGCAGGATTTGAATCCAAGTTCATCTGACTCTATGGGATGTTAGAAGGATACTTCTCTAATTAGGAAGAAGTAAACAGTGGAATCTCTCTCTAGGGATTGAGTCATAATTAAACTCTAAAAATAAGTCATCTGACTTGGGAAAATGGCTTGGCTGCCCCTTTTAAAGCTAAAAATGGGCTGGGTGCAGTGGCTCACACCCGTAATCCTACCACTTTGGGAGGCTGAGGTGGGTGGATCACCTGAATCCAAGAGTTCAAGACCAGCCTAGGCATCATGGCGAAACCCAATCTCTACTTAAAAAAAAAAAAAATAGCTAGGCATGGTGGTATATGCTTATTATCCCAGCTACTCAGGTGGCTGAGGCACAAGAATCACTTGAATACTGGAGGCAGAGGCTGCAATGAGCTGAGATTGCACCGCTGCACTCCAGTCTGGGTGACAGAGTGAGATTCTGTCTCAGAAAAAAAAAAACCAAAAAAACTAAACTAAACTAAAAATGAACTTGCCATATGACTCAGCAATTGCACTCTTGGGCATTTATCCCAGAGAAATGAAGACTTATTTTCACTCAGAAAGTTGTACCTAGATGCTCATAGCCACTTTATTCATAATAGTCAAAAATTGGAAACTACCCAATGTCCTTCAAAGGGTGAATGGTTTAGAAAACTGTGCTACATTCATACCATGGAATATTAACAATAAAAGGGACTGGTCTGTTGATACATGCAACAACTTGGATGAACCTGAAGGAAGTTACGGATGATTAAAGTCAATCTCGGAAGGATACATACTGCATGATTATATTTACATAACAATAGTGAAATAATATACATTATATAATTATAGAGCTGGAGGACAGATTAGTGGTTGCCAAGGATTTGGGATGGGGGATGGATGTGGCTATAAAGAGTAACATGAGAAAGTCTTGGGGGGATGGCCAAATGTCTTGACTATGGTTATACAAGGCTACACATGCCAAAATTGCATAAAGCCACACACATGAGTACATGTACAAACAAGTGCATGTAAAAATGGTGAAGTCTGAATAAGCTTCATGGATACTGTACTAACACTGTAAGGTGTTCACACTGGGGAAAGTTGGGGCAAGCGTACATGCGACTTCCCTGTACATTTCTTCCCTGTACAAGTCTTGCAAATCTATAATTATCTAAAAATAAAAAGTTAAATATATATGTACATACACACATGATCTGCAGGGCTAGAGACTTGGAGAATGACTTCAGTATAGGCATTTGAAAATCAGAATCTATTATCTCTCTTTTTCCATTATAATGTGAGGAAGTAATGCGGGAATTATTATGTATTGTTCCATGAAATCTGGTGTACCCCTGCAATTCTGAAGGTCAATAAGATGCTGAACATCACCAGAAAGGGGATTGGAAATGAAATAGACCAAGAAAGTTTAGTCTCTTGGCAGGCCAAAAGAGCTTGACTGACTCTCTTCATACAAAACACATACAACACCAAAAATGTGAGTAGTTTTTGAAAACCAGTATTAACAAACTAAGAGGCCGCCATATGAGAAGATGAAAAAGATTCTAAACGAGTTGTAATAGAATTTTAGAAAATCAAAAAACTAAGGCCTATTTTTTTTTTTTTTTTTAGACAGAGTCTCACTCTGTTGCCCGGGCTACAGTGCAGTGGTGTGATCTCGGCTCACTGCAAGCTCCGCCTCCCGGGTTCACGCCATTCTCCTGCCTCAGCCTCCCGAGTAGCTGGGACTGTAGGCACCCACCACCATGCCCGGGTACTTTTTTTTTTTTTTTTTTTTAATTTTAGTAGAGACGGGGTTTCACCGTGTTAGCCAGGATGGTCTTGATCTCGTGACCTCGTGATCCTCGGCCTCCCAAAGTGCTGGAATTACAGGTGTGAGCCACCGCGCCTGGCCACTAAGGCCTACTTTTTAAAGCTTGGTAGGCAACGTTAAGTCAACTGAAAAGAAGCACTGGTCGGTCAGGTGTAGTAGTACCAGCAAAACACAAAATAAAATTCAGATGACTTAAATGAATTCACAATTTCCAAAGCCGTTATAGGTTTGGAGATGAATTTCTGATCCTTAAAGACATGTCAGAGGAGTCAGTGAAGCTGCTTTGCCTTGGGGAAAGGGGCCTGAGCTTGTTCTGACTCAGAAAGGCATTTTTTATGTTAGGAATAATGTTCAAAGATTTGGACATTACCAAGCCTGACATAGCTAGTTCCCATTTTCCTTAAGACAGAAATTATCAGGAAAGAAAACAAAACAGCAAAGCAAATTGAGTAACAAAAAGCTTTGCCATAGTCAGGGTGAAGAGTCTTCCTGTGAAAGGAGTCTAAATCAGAACTACAGGGAGTGATAGACAGAGATTCTAGAGAATTATTTCCTGGAAGATTCTACAATATGCAAAGATTTGTATGATGTCCTGGTCTAGTCCAACTGATCAATGAATGAGACTTAAATGAGCACCTGTCATGGAACAACACTATAGGCCTTATTTGGACAACATTCCTTTAAAGTGATACGTGTTTTTGTTTTGTTTTGCTTTGTTTTGTTTTTCTGAGACAGAGTCTCGCTCTATCTTGCCTAGGCTGGAGTGCAGTGGTGCGATGTCAGCTCACTGCAGACTCCGCCTCCTGGGACTTGTGTTTTTTTGTTTGTTTGTTTTTTGAGACGGAGTCTTGTTCTGTCTTGCCCAGACTAGAGTGCAGTGGCATGATCTCGGCTCACTGCAGCCTCCGCCTCCCAAGTTCAAGTGATTCTCCTGTCTTGGCCTCCCAAGTAGCTGGGATTACAGGCATGTGCCACTATGCCTGGCTAATTTTGTAATTTTAGTAGAGACGGGGTTTCACCATGTTGGCCAGGCTGGTCTCGAACTCCCAACCTCAGGTGATCTGCCCGCCTCGCATCCCAAAGTGCTGGGATTACAGGCGTGAGCCACTGCGCCAGGCCGACTTGTGTTGTTAACCTCCGAGTTATTTGCAGGCATATTTGAACCTTATGGCTGGCTTACTCATATCCAAAATATCCTATATTAAGAAAAGACTCGTCTGGGTGCGGTGGTTCACGCCTGTAATCCCGGCACTTTGGGAGGCCAAGGTGGGCAGATCTCGAGGTCAGGAGTTTGAGATCAACCTGACCAATATGGTGAAACCCCATCTCTACTAAAAGTACAAAAATTAGCCGGGCATAGTGACGCATGCCTGTAATCCCAGCTACTTAGGAGGCTGATGAAGGAGAATCACTCGAACCCAGGAGGTGGAGGTTACAGTGAGCCGAGATTGCACCACTGCACTCCAGCCTGGGCGACAGAGCGAGACTCCATCTCAAAAAAAAAAAAAGAAAAGACTGTCCTGTAGTGAGTACCAAAGGAGGAGGATCTTGTTCTTGGTCAATGAAACAATGGCATGGTTTCCTTTTGGAAGTAAAATATAGATTTCAGAAAATATAGTGAGTTGTGAGAAGATTCAAAGAGAACCAGAAAGGAAGGAATTTAAGTGTTTGTATGGGTGCCACCTAGGGACAGTTATGTGATTGAAGGAAAGATGCTAACAAACATTGAAGATGTAAATTTGTTTTAAGATATAAATTTTAACAAATGGAGGCTGCTATGTAGACAGAACATGGTAAAACCATTATACTCCCAGATGAAGGTACAAGCTTCCCATTTCCCATGAGGTTGTACAGTTGCTGACACTATTACCCAGATTCAGGACCATTCAAAGAGTTCATGCCTTCCTGAACCCTCCCACCTCTTCTCAGATGTTTGCTTGAACTCTAGGCTTGCATATCCAACTGTATTCTTGGCATCTCTCCTTCAGTGTTTAATATGCGTCTCAAACTTAACATGTCCAAAACTGAACTCCTGATCCTTGCTGCCACCACCCAAGCCTACCCCTTCTGTAGTCTTCTCCATCTAAGTAAAGAACTGTTCCTCCTAGTTACTCAGACAAAAATCATAACGAGTCACTTTTCTTTTTTTTTCTTTTCTTTTTTTTCGAGACAGAATCTTGCTCTGTCGCACAGGCTAGAGTGCAGTGGCGCCATCTTGGCTCATTACAACTTCTGCCTCTCGGGTTCAAGCAATTCTTGTGCCTCAGCCTCCCAAGAAGCTGGGATTACAGGCATGCGCAACCGTGTCCAGTTAATTTTTGTATTTTTAGTAGAGATGGGGTTTGGCCACATTGGCCAGGCTGGTCTCGAACTCCTGACCTCACGCAATCTGCCCACTTCAGCCTCCCAAAGTGCTGGGATTACAGGCATGAGCCACCATGCCCAGCCAAGAGTCATCTTTGACTCCTTTCTTTCTCTCACATCCTGTTTCAGTCTGTTCTCAAATCGTGCTAGCTCCAACTCAAAATATATCCAGCATCTAACCAGTTTTCAACACCTTCGCTGTTGTCACCCTGGCTCAAGCTGTCATCTCTTCT